TTGCCCCATAAAATCCTCTTTTAGCCTCCTTACAGCATGTTCATTCGTCACCCTCCTATAGAAAAGATTTGTTTTTGGCCTCTCTTTTCTATACTGGCCCTCATAAACCACAAATACTGGTAGATGATCACTAATGTCATATATTAATCTCCATTAAGTTGACAAACAGGAATTCGTTGTTTTAATACTGTTGACCTTTAAGGGTTTGAGTGACGTTTGTTGGTGGGTGGCAGTGAAGTCAGTACCAGTCATCTCTAGTCTCTCTCTCCCCTCCCACCACCTTTTGTTGACTGCAGCTCATTTTCCACTGGGTGAATGAATGTTTGGCAAAAGTCGAAAATGTCACAAAGGTAAATCAAGAAATGCTGGATATGAATTTAATCACTTGAGCCAAGTCAGCTGACTTTCAGTGTGACCAGCTACTGGAACGCCACAGAGATGATGAGCTGAAGATGCCACAGCAAGTGAATTAAAGAATTTTTTTCTTAAAACTCATTTGAATTCACTTGAGCTTCTGATTATCATAATAGTCGCAAATTAATTTATTCCTAATCGACACATTGATTAATTGGACACGTTTCCAGTGCTTCTCTTTCCTGCTTGCACTGAGCTGTTCGTCTTACTGCGCATACACCTAGTTGAAAGCAGAGCTGAGTTTCATTTCATCCTTGTGTGGGAGAGCAGGATCTGTTTTTCCCTCCTCTTGTCTTTCTTTTTGGCGCCGCCTCTGCATCCATAAACGAGGTGTCTTTCTGTGTGTGTGTGTGCATGCTGGACAGTGAGGCAGCAGCTGTTTCTTCGCCAACCTCGTGACCACTCCCAGCCCCCGTCTCCGGACATCTATTTTCTCCTCATCTGTTCCAGAATAACTCGCCGAGTCCCCATGGCTGTCATTTACGTTTTTCATTCCCTGGGGTCGAGCTGAACACACGCTCTGTCCCACACAGACACTCTCAGGCTGCTGCACAGCTCGTCAGCACAATGAGTACATTTCTCAGCTGAGTGTGTTAGTTTTGGCAGCAGCAGGGTGGTGCAGTGTGAAGCCAGAGGAGGCAGGTTCATAGCCTCCACACGCTGCTGCAGAGCTGCCGACCCTGACCTCTGACCCCAGGGAGCTACACGGCGCCCAAAAACAGCAGTGACTATCTCAACCTCTTGTTGGATAGTAATGACACTCCAGAAGTAAACTGGCTGTAGTAGTAGTGGTTTCAGTGGTGGTAGGTACTTGGTAAAAGTGGCAGTAGTATAGTCTATAGCAGTTTTATGGTCATTTTTGTAGTAGTAGTAGTTCTGGTGCCAGTAGTAGTTTCAATGGTAGTTCTATGTAGCAATTTCAGTGGCAAGGAGTGTTAGTAGTTTCTGCAGTACTAGTAGATCCTGTGACAGTTTCTGTGGTAGTTTTAATAATAGTTTTAGTGGCAGTAGAAGTAGGATCTGTAACCAATTTGTAGCACAAGTAGTAGAAGTTTTTATTGTAGTAGTCTGAAGTAGTAGCTTTACCTGGTATCACACTTGTTTGAATTTCTACTAGAAGAAGTTTGTGCTGTTATTGAGTCTAACTTAAACATGTCGCTGCTGTTTGTGCCAAAGATTTACTATATTGACAGCAGCAGTAGTAATAGTAACAGTTGTTGACCCAGATGACCAGTCAAGAGTATGCCTCGTCCACGTGTGCAACAGCATTGCATGTCTGGTGTCAGGAGATGAGCTCTAGTTTTATTTTGTTAGTTTGCTCCCTGTGGAACAGCTTCCTGTAACCCACCAGCTGTGTTTGACTGTCCTCTCAAGCTGTGGGTGTGAATATTAACTCGCTCTCTTGACGCTGGCCTCCTTGACTACATAGAGGGTCCTTGGAGGAGCTCTGTGCTGTCAAATAAAAAGACTGCTGTGTTGGAAGGAATGAGGAGGCAGCTCTGACAGTCAGCCACCCTGCTCCACTTATCTCCTCACAGACAGCGACAAGCACTGCTCTGATGGTGGAGCAGACTCACACCCACCAGTCCTGGAGGAGTTTCTAGGAGTATTTAAGGTGGTTCTGTTGGTCCTTGTGGTGGTTTAGTGGCCTTCAGAGGATGCAAGTACTCCTATAGGGACCCCATTTGTACTTAATGGGAGTTCTAGGGGTTTTGAAGGAACTTTCTTTAGTCTTTGAGGGGGTGATTATAGTTAGTTTCCAAAAGTTGGCGGTAGGATATAGATTGTGTGTGATAGGATGAACTGAGTCATTCAGAGGTTGCATGTAGTCTGTGATGGGAGGCCAAGAGTTGGCAATAAGATGCAAGGCTCACAGTCAGAGATGCAAGTCAGATCTAGGAGCACATATGCAAGTGGTTCAGATCTGATCTGAGAACATCTGATCTGGTCTGTTCACACTGCTGTGGACACATCAGGTCTGAGTCACTTGGAGGGAAACGTCAGATCTGGGAAAGTTCAGCTGTGATGTGGCCGTAACCTTTGTGTTAGTTTATCTCAAAGCCTCCTATGTATTGAAAATCATGTTTGTTTTTGTCTCTGTTTCTCAGGTTGGTGGCGGTGATGCTGATTGCATTTCCCATGGAGCTGTGCACAGACATGCACACTGTTCTACCATGGAGCCACCAGTCAGGTATGGAAACACACACACTGCTCCAGCTCAGAGTCTGCAGGATGTTTATTGTGGTCACATGGAAAACTTTAGCGGTTGGTGTTGTGCACTCTTTGAAACACACATGCACACAAACTAAACAACCACTGCTTAATGTGTATGGGTACCAGTGATTACTCCCTAAAAGTAGATTATCCAATCCCCCTCCCCCTCCGGCTCTTTGAGGAGATTAACCCTTGACCCTGGGGCTGAAGGCAGCGCCGGCCAATCAGGAGGCCTCCTGGCTTTTAATTGTAGGCTCTGATTGGGTCATTTGAGCTGTCACCTGGTTTGATTAATAACCACAGAACAGGAGAGCAGGAAGAGCGCTGATTACACCGAGCCTGAAGGCTGCATCTAGATTTCTGTGTGATGTACGTGAAGAGTGGAAGTGTGGGTCTGTGTGTTTTGTAGGTGCAGTGTTTGAGGAAAAGGTCTGGAGTATGTGCGAGTTGACACGTGTCCGTGTGTAAAAGGTGGTGAAACCAGTGCTCTAATCTATTCTGTTCTTTTCATATAATTCAGTTAAGGCTCAAATGATCAACAAAAATAATCTGCATTTATTTTGATAATTGATTAATTGTTTCATGCAAACATAGGGAAACTGTGCTAGGACGTAAGTGCTGCCAGCCTCGGATGTGAGAGGACTTACTGCTTTTCAAAGTCAAGTAAACATTTTTGTCCTTTTAGACTTCAGGTTGAACAAAAGAAGACTTAAAGCTGTCCCCTTTGATTCAGTGAAGATGTGATAGGCTTTGTTGATCATTACCTGATGATTCATAGTCCACCCAATTAAACAATGAATCAGTAATGACAGTAATTTTTAGTGTTAGATATTAGTAAATCAGTTAGATAATTGTTAGACAATGTGTTAGTAATGCAATTTAGTAAGATTTAAAGTCTGCTCTAGTTTGTTTTGTTTCAAGGTTAGAAGACAGAATGTTAATTCTGAAAAGTGAATATTATGTCTGAATAAATGAATGAATGCCTTAGCTACACACCATGTGGCAACTTACACACACATTGTGATTCTTCATTTTGTTATGACTAGGTAGAAATGCAGCTGCTCAAAGCATGTGGAGCTCTAGATAAGAGATGGAGTCTTTGGACTGACTTCATCTGGGTAAGGGGTTAGCCCAAAACCTTTATAAATGTATGGATGAGCATTACAGTACCATTAATCAAACTAAAACCCGGTGATGTTCAGTGTAATATCACTCAAAGAAATCAGGAAGCTGGAATCTGATATTTGAAATTTACTGCTTGAAACGCGATGAATTGATCATGGAAATATTGGCTGAATTTTGTTTGTCAAGCTGCTAGTTGTTCCAGCTTCCAGTTTGAGACCCTAAACCCCCCCCCCCGTAAAGCCTCTCAGACAGATAAATGCAATCTTTTTATATTGTGAGAGAGTTTGTTAAAGCGTGAAGACCTTAAGTGAAGTGTCATTTGCAGGAAGTCTGTCAGCGGTGATGAAGTCAGTTTGACATTGTCAATGAGTTTTTTGCAAGTGCGTGAGGGTATGTTGAAACGAGCAGATTGCAGCCTTTGTCTCAGGACGACATGACTCAAGTGTCTGAGTTTCAGAGCTCGCTGACAGGCCTTCACACAGAGCCGGCCAGTCTGCAGCTCTAAAATCACTCCCATATGTCCTAGAGCAGCCCTGCCCCCACTTCTCTGCACATACACTTGCATACTGCAGCACAGCTCTGCTCCGTACAGGCTGGCACACTGACAAGGCTCAGCTACATTCAGTTTGTAAGTAAAGATGAATTCAGGCTGAAGATTTTACGGAGTACCCGCAGAAAAACAAGTCTAGAATATCCAAGACGTTTTTTAACAAGGAAAGAAATGAAAAGGAGTACAAATAAATTTTAGATCAGAAAAGTACAGCTGGGTGACAACTGAGGAAAAACCAGCAGGGCCTCGCCAGGGCTGTGTCTCCAGAGCAGTGTCAGGTCTCCTCTGTTGCAGGAGGAAACCTCCTCCTTCCAAACCAGATCCCCCCGCTGCGTCCGACCTGCTGCGTCGTCCTCATGAAGCCATTCAGTGACCTAGAGCTGCAGCCATGAGTCAGTTCACTGGTAGAAAATGAACCTCAGCTATTTAGAAGCAACAGTCACCGACATGTTCTGGTTCCACCTTCTTTAATGTGAGGAGCTGATGCTTTTCTTTGTCAGACATGAGAATCAGCTGAGTCTCTGTGGATCTGTTGGTTGGACACAATGAGACGTGTGGAGACTGACCTCAGTAACTGACACAAGAGATTTGGCATGTTTTCTTTTTTTTTATAAAGTATACAGACAGTGGATGTTATGAGCTTTGTAAAAAAAAAAATGTCATGGATTGCATTAGACTATACAGGTGTACCTAAAACAGTGGCCACTGAATGTGATACTGTGATGCAGTACTTTATTCAGAAACATGAAAAAGAACCAGATATGGCTGTTAATGGTTGTCCCATGAATTAAACGCCTGACACATCACTGTACATTGAAAATCATATACAAGTCAGCAGTGAACGGTCTCACATGGCGATTAGTTAAATTGCCTGCGCTGGCCTAATACAACGAGATATTTAAGAGACGACTACCAGAGTATAAACAGTAGTCATCTGTTGGTTTGTAGCTTCATGTGGCCCAGTCTTACTGAATATAATTAAAAGATAAGTTACTCCCCAAAGCAAACGTTTTGCTTAGTAAATATTTATAGAGAATTGGCAGCTCTTAGGTTTATGATCACATATGAATTTGGTCTAAAATATACTGCAGCTCCAACCTTCCTTAAAAGGTATTTTTCTAGTAATATTTTTAAATCTGCACATCCCTGGTTTTCACATTGACAGGCTTTGCTGTATGATTATGGATTTTCCTCCCCGATATTTATATAAATACATGTGCACGCTATGATGGGACTGGCTTGGTGGGAAAAGCTAAGTTGTTTGTGGATTGATGGCTGTAGCTGAGAATCAAGGAATATGTAAAACAGAAATCCTGACGTGCTGTGATTAACACAGAGATAAGACCAAAGATTTACTGCAGCTCGGTGGATGCTCCCCAGCAGTCGGTACTGTTAGGATTCTGCTGTTTATCACAAACTCAGTCGGGTCATAAATTCCTCAGATAGTCCTCTGGCTACTTTGAGTCGCTGTGGGGAGCTTTCACTCACAAATCCACTCTTTTCATCTGCTTAAGATGAGTTTGGAAACAGCCTGGAATTCAAAAAGTAGTTTTAATGACTTCAGTGATGACAAGACTCTTCTTCCTAGATTTATAGGGTCTCAAGGAAACTGTCCGAACAGAATCGGTGTTAAAGGATCTCCTGTTTTCTCAAAAACTGCTTCTGGAGAAAGGGGAGGTAATACTATAATCAGCCGCCCTATACTGGGGGCACTGCAGTAAAAAATTGCTTTATATTATAAGATACAGTCCATTACAGTCTCTTGTCATGTGACCTCTCCAGAGTTGATGTCATCAGGGTTTTATCTGCTTGGGCTTTGGAGATTTCATTTTTATTTTTGGCTGCTTTGCCTTTACTTGACAGCTGAAAGTAGTGCTCGACCGACGTGGGCTTTTCAATGGCGGATGCTGGTGCCGATCTTTGGAGAGTGGGGAGTCCTATGGCCGATATCACTTAATTTTTTATTTTTGCATCAGATTAAATAACAATTTAATAATAACAAATGAGACACAAATATACTGAACACAAGTGGACATGTAATCGTAATGATTTATAATTTTTTGTAAATATTTCATGTGTTTGAAAAATTTAAAAAAGAACATTATCTTTGTTTGCTATGCTCTGCATCCCTCTTATTGTTTTACATTTTAAGAAAGTCCACATGAAAACCAAACTGTGTAAAAATAAAAAAGACACTGACAAGGCTACCTGCAGATGTGTCTACATCAATCAGCCAACCAATTAATTTGTCTGTCACTGGTTGATAATGAAGAGGCAGGCAGGATACAAGGGGAGAGAGATGACAGGCAACATCCACCTGCTGTGGCCATCCAGCCATCCAGAGACTTCACATAGTGGATGTGTGAAGTTTGAACCAGACAGACGGGGTCTAATGAACAGACACTAGTGAGCTGCATCCTGGGACTAAGTCAGGATCGCCTGCCTCAGCCGACCATCCTTTGTTTTGTGTTTCTGCTGCCTTTTATGGAGGTGAAACATCAAAGCAGTGCGGTAGCACTGTCACGTCTGATACATGCCACTCATTGGACATCCACACAGTTATTGTGGCACTTTGTGTTCTGTGTTCTGGCTCTGTGATGATACAAGTCATCAAACTTTTGGCTCTGGTCAGACTTGATCATAATCCAGCTCTGATACACCCACCACTCTTGTTGTGGTCTCACATGAGACGCCTTTCTTCTGTCTGAACCCGTCACTCCATCTCTGTCCTTTTGCTTTGGGAGACATTTTGAACATGTTGATGTGAAACCTTTGGAGGTGGAAGGGCTGCAACTAAAATATTTAGTCCAGTTTCTCAGAGTCCAAATGGATGTCTTGTTTTGTCTTGAGTAACAGTCCAAAACCAGCAAAATATTCACTTTAATATTTAAGAAACGGAAATGTAATATTTTTTGTTGATTTGCTTGAAAAATGACTTAATAGATTATCAAAATAGTTGCAGATCAATCAGCTCATTGATTTACGTTTTCATTTCCAGTTGAAAGCCATAACGTAAGCTGATTTTAGAGCTGTAACCCGACTCACTGGAGTGTTTTCTCTGTGTTCCTGGGCTTTAGTTATTATTTCTACTTTTGTTTCTATTTTGTGTCTTCTTGCCTTTTTAAAATTTTTTTGTCCATAACGTTCTGTTTCTGCAAATGCATCTCTGTTTATTCTTCTATGTTTTTTTTCTGGTTCTTCTTCACACAAAACTGCGCTCAGACACCCTGGACCACCTGTATCGTTGCATCAAACATGGCCGGCTGTGTGGCCTGGCTGCACTTTCCAAGCAGACACGGTGT